CCGTCAGCCAGACAGTGCCGGCTGGCGACCCCCAGGGGGAGGGCCTTCTCGGTGGGAGCTCCCACCCTCTGGAACGAACTACCCCCAGAGATCCGGGTGATCCCGGATCTCCCCTCCTTCCGCCGCGCCCTTAAGACATGGCTCTTCCAACAAGCGGGATTGGCCTAGGGGAATTTTTAGTGGGGTTTTAAGAATAATTCTAAATTGACATAGGCCACATCAAATATTTCATTTTAATTAGGTTTTAAAGTGGGTGTTTTTATCTTTGTATCTGTTTTACTAGGCTGTCAGCCGCCCTGAGTCCGTAAGGAGAAGGGCGGGATAAAAATTTAAACAAATAAAATAAATAAATAAATAAATAAATCTGCTGAGATGACAACACTTGGGTTCCCCTGTGCAGGCCATTGACATCCCTGACCGACGCTTGTAAATTCAAAGAGATCGATTATTATTTTCTAAGCCAGTGGTTCTCAACCTTTTTAATGCCGTGACCCCAACCGGTCGTAAGTCGAGGACTAAACCGGTCGTAAGTCGAGGACTACCCGACCGGTCGTAAGTCGAAGACTTTCCCTGCCCGGGAACGCCGCGCATGCGTGGTTCCGCCTCCTGCGCCGGCCGAGGCATAGCTGGCAAGCGGCAGAGACGGAGCAGGCCGACCACCAGCTGGCCCAGCCCAAGGGAGGTAAGGCACCCGCTGGAAAAGGGGGAAAAAAATGGCGGACAAAAAAAATGGACAAAGAAAATGGCGGAAAGCCTTGCTTGGCGACCCCCATGAAATGGTCGATCGACCCCAAATGGGGTCCCGACCCACAGGTTGAGAACCACTGTTCTAAGCTGTTGTAGGCTTTTCAGCAGGCAAAACGCTCTTTAATTCCTGCAACATCACCCAAATAAATTGGGCACTGTCTGTCAGGAACATTATTGGTAGTTGGCTACTGAAATTCTTTTCCCATTTACTTAAATAAAGAGTCCAAAGCAGGAGAAAGGAAGGATATATTCCTGAAATTTCCATGTCTAACTCAGAACCAGATTTTCAGTTCACCACACTTGAGTCAGCAAACAAAACTAGATATGAACAAAACAAGTTTATTCATGCAATTAGAATGGAAGGGGAAAAAATCTGAACTTATATGTTTCTTAAACATGATCTGAAAGGAGCATTTATTCAAATTTTAGGTAGTAAAGCTCAACATTTTCCATCAATTGCACATCCATCCAAAAATGGGCCTCTACTGATGACTTTAAGCCTGGATATTGGTCACCATTATGTCTCCGTCCACTTCAAGCAGATTTATCTGGAGTAGATTATGTGTGCGATGATTGTATTCAAACTGATGCTGTCCATTCACAGCCACCTTGAAGCAGTGTGCTTCACACTGAATCCAGATCTACAAAGATAAAATGCATGTTTGTAATAACTTTAATGGGACCCCATAATATAACCCAGATATTTCAGTTTTTATTTTATTTAATTTGTATCACAAATTACCCATTTTAAAGTCAACAAACCAGCAAATGTGTTTCACAGAGGCATCTGCAAAAACTGATGATCTCCTCAAAGTCACTAAATGATGAGTATTCAGAATAACTAAAAGTAACCATGATACAGATTTTAACTCAGTCTGAGATTTTAACCTAATACATGCATTAGTACTACACCCCAAATTTGGGTTTACCCTAAAACTACATTTCAATTTTATAAAATATTTAAATCAGAATAAATACATAGTAATATGGAAGAAATGTATATATTACATTATACTGTATTATTTATACACTGCATTATTATACGATATACTAATAACATATTGTCATATATTATTTTATTTGGCAATTTATGTTGTGCTAACCATGGTTCTGACACTCATTTCTAGTTCAAGTTTAACAGTGATTAGTTGGTGATTAAATTGTGATTTGCTTTAGGTCCACCATAAAAAGGGTTGTAAAATTGGGTCTGATAACATGATGGCTTGACTTATGACTGCACCAACATATGACCAAAATTCCAGTCTTAATTGTGATTGTAAGCGGTGCAGCTTTTAAGAGAGTGTTGTTGTATGGGCAAACCGAGGATTCTGAAATTCATGCATTAGGCTAGCCTGATAAATGCAAACTTAAGTCAGTTCACACAATCATTTGGCCTAGGTTGAGCAACCAAACTGCTTTGACTTACGGTAAAGGGTTGGCCACGCAACAGAGGCATCCCACAGGGCAGGTGTCGCTCTTCTGAACCCCAGCGCATGTTGAGGTTGGAGTTTCGAACAATCACGTTCTCATCAAACCGTGGATTGAGATGGAAAGCAGTATCGTTCCCCGCTTTCAGATTGATGTGGAACCTACATAAAAAGACCCAAATGTTGTGCCGCAGAATAAACAGGAGACCCCACATCCAGAAATGACACAATGAACATTCCAATTTCTGAAGATATTATATTGCTGATTCAAAAGCCATTATTTTTCTCAAAGGAAGTTCCCATGTGAACCTGGTGAGCAAGAATCTTTTTCCCAAATAGATTCTTTTTTTAAAGAGATCTGTAAAAAAGGGTTCACTTGATAGATGATAGATAGATAGATAGAGATGATAGATGATAGCTGATAGATATAGATACATGATAGATACAGATAGATGATAGATAGTTGATAGTTGATATAGATCAGTGGTGGCGAACTTATGGCACGTGTGCCAGATGCGGCACTCAGAGCCACGTGCGCCGTCGTCCCAGTCCTAGGCCTTCAGCTGGGTTTTATAAAACCTTTTCGCTTTAGGCCTCTGCCGTGTCCCAAAAAAAAATTTCAATCAGTCAATTTCAACTTCTCGCGGGGAAAAAAAAGATCTTGCAAAGTTGGAATTGATTGATTGAACTTTTTAGTCCCACCCAGTCTGCTGTTACCACCGCAGCCATGCCCACCCAATGGGCCACACCCACCCGGCACCCGACGATGCGTGAGTTTTGGGTTGCAGTTTGGGCACTCGGTCTCTAAAAGGTTCGCCATCACTGATATAGATAGATAGATGATAGATAGATAGATAGATAGATAGATAGATAGATAGATAGATAGATAGATAGATAGATAATATCATACACCATAATGCATGGAGGGTGACTAGTAATGATTATTTTTAATTGCACTTAACAAAAAATAAAAGTACAGCGAAGTTCATTTTATCACACGTAGTGCTTTTGGAATGGGTGTGTGCATGCCTGGGTGTGTGTCCTTTCCACTCATTTTATTTCATAGGGCAAGGTAACAGATCTGAACAATGAGCTTTGATGACAAAGAGGAGTTCATTCTGTCACCCAACTGACTGTGCTTTTGGCCAGCCAACTTTGTTCCTGGAAGGAATAAATTTCAGAAGTATGGCCAACTCACTCTAGGAACACCGATGTTCATTTGCAATATCTCTTTATCATCTGTTGATGGAGCTTCGCTTTATTTATTTATTTTTTCAAACATTTATTTATTTTTTTATCACTAAAGATAAAATACAAAACACAGAAAAGGATGGAGACTCACTTTACAGTCTGATAAATCTTATAAGCCGTCCAGAGCTATAGCAGTGAAATGGGTGGGCATATACATTTAATAATAAAATAAATGCAATAATAAATTACAGCCATGCAGCATTTTTGACTGAAAGGGAAAAAGATGCTTCACAGATCCGTTCTGCAACTTCTTAAAATTGCAGCATCTTTTCTAGGAATCAGCACGATTGGGGGGGGGGGGAGAAGCATGTTATTTCAGGAGTTACTGACGGGTGCAACATTAGCGCCCTCATGTGTTACAAAATAGTTTTCCCTTTGAATTCAAACTGCACAAATGATGCACAAATATATTATCTTCAGTCACTGTACCTACGTCACAATCAATTTGTTGGTCTTTAAGATGTCTCAAGAGTTTTTGTTACGTGTATGTACTTTACAGACATTTCAGGCTTATATTATAAATATTCTGGTAGATGATACCACTTGCATTACACGGTTGTCTCTAAGGTGCTTTTTCAAAAGGCAACTTAATTGTGCAGCCCCAAACCATTCATTCGAAAGGAATTCAGATTAAAATCGTGTGGAAGAAAATTTTACCAATAATATTTCTTAGTCTTTACCTCTGGGCAGAAGGGGACACAGAACCGGAGATTATTATTGATTTGGATGGAAAAAGGCCCCCATAGATGGTAGCTCGGTAAGGGAGAGGCTGTGGAGAGAATACACACACAAAGCATATTAGATTTAATCTGCCTTTCCTTTCCACTTTGCACCTTCAAATTATCAATCGGAGATCAACAAAGGCCAATTTTATAAGGATGTTCAATAGAGTGGGTCTGGAAAAAAATGTCAGATGCCACGTCATAATCAAATAGTTTTGGTCACCACGATGTAAAAAAGATGCTGAGACTCTAGAAAGAGTACAGAGAAGAGCAACAAAGATGATTAGGGGACTGGAGGCTAAAGCATATAAGGAACGGCTGCTGGAATTGGGCATGTCTAGTTTAATGAAGAGAAGGACGAGGGGGGACATGATAGCAGTCTTCCAATATCTCAGGGGCTGCCACAAAGAAGAGGGAATCAAGCTATTCTCCAAAGCACCTGAGGGCAGGACAAGAAGCAACGGGTGGAAACTAACCAAGGAGAGAAGCAACCTGGAACTAAGGAGAAACTTCCTGACAGTTAGAACAATTAACCAGTGGAACAACCTGCCTCCAGAAGCTGTGAATGCTTCAACACTGGAAACTTTTAAGAAAAGACTGGACAGCCATTTGTCTGAAATGGTATAGGGTTTCCTGCCTGAGCAGGGGGTTGAACTAGATGATCTCCAAGGTCCCTCCCAACTACTACTACTACTACTACTACTACTACTACTACTACTACTACTACTACTAATTATTATTATTATTATTATTATTATTATTATTATTATTATTATTATTATTATTATTATTATTATTATTATTATTATTATTATTATTATTATTATCCCTGCCCTCTTTAATGTGCATGCTCATTCACATAAACAGAGGACAGAGCTTCTATTGACATGTTTACTGTTTTGACTTCCTCCTGGGGACATCTTTGATTATCCACCTAAGCATAGCCTTTTCCCCTGAGAAAGCACCCATGGTTCTTCCTGGTCATAGTTGTAAATGTCCACTGAAGGCCTTAGCCTCTGGCATCTTTCAGGTTTTTTTCCAGAGCATCAAGGCCGTACCGTGATTCACTTGCTGACCTCTTAGAATTCTTTTCAAAAAGTTTTCAAACTATTCAGATTTCCCAAAATGCCCAAGGGGCCTAGTTAAATCTGGTGCATTATGGGAAATTCCGAAGATGCTCAAGTCCAACCTGCAGCACTGATTCCTTCCTATTGCAGCTCTTATTAGAAAAGATACATCAGATTACTAAGGTTGGGTTCATACTGGTTCATTTTTATTAGATATCTTAGATTTATGCCTTCCTTTTCTTCTGGAGCCTCAGGGAACATATATAACACTCCCCCCTCCAATATCTTCGCATAACAATGACACAATGAGGCTGGTTGAGCTGTGAGAGCACAGCGTGTCCAAAGCCCCCCATGGCAGGGGAGGAGCTTGAAGCGGAGTCCAGCACCTAACTGCTACCCACTTTTGCTCTCACATAAGCTTAATCCTTAAGACATGTTAACAACTTCCAGTTGCTGAGTTCCCGTACCCGGCACAGCCTATATCAGGGGTAGGCAACCTTGGCTCTTTTATGACTCGTGGACTTCAACTCCCAGAATTCCTGAGCCAGCCATGCTGAGGGGAAAGGGAGGTTTCCATGCTTAGCCATGCTGGCTCAGGAATTCTGGGAGTTGAAGTCCACGAGTCATAAAAGAGCCGAGGTTGCCTACCCCTGGCCTATATTAATCAACCACATTATGGTTGAATGCGATTGGCAGGACTGCCATCATTTGCTTTTCACCTTCACTGTCAGTCTACCATGAACTATGGGGTGTGGGAGCCCAACGGGAGGGGGTTGACTACTTGGGGGAAAGTGAAACTAATGAAGCCAACTACTCATCGTACCATCCAGAGGCACCAGCTCAAGGTCAAAATTCTGGGAATGGAATTCATTGGCTCCCCAACCTGCCCGTTGAAGCAACTATTCCCAAAACAATTTATTCAAATATAATTGGACAATAAGGGAGGGGGGGAGAGGAAGTGGATTGGGAAAGTTAACCAGGGAATTTTGGCAGGCGAACTGTAGTTCTGGTTTTTGCTATACTGTGATCCACTTGGCTTTTAGTAAAAGTATATCTTTCACTACAAATGGAGTTGAAGTTTTTTCTCGACTAAAGGACCAGGTCAGGGCAGGTCTGACTGTGATAACCTGATTCACATAATGTGCAAACATGGTGATTGGGTTCCCACGCTGAGCCAAAATTCCTAACATGCTCCTTTGTGCCCATTTCAGAGGATTCCTACCTGAGTAGTATCAGATCCCTAAATGTGTGGGACTTTGACTCTCATAATTCCATGTTAGCCTAGGGTTGAAGTCCCTCATAATTGATGGGTTAGAAAAAAATGACTTATGTGCAACTATTGCTAATATGATAAAGACTTACATAAATTTGTTGCTGAAAGCATTGTCCAATGGGATAGGCATTTGGCTGTGAACAAAACAGAACAGCAGTCAGGATTTTACATGCAAAGATTGTTTGTTTTTTTAAATCCAAATATAAACATAAGCCAAACATTTATCAAAAAGCTTGGGAATCCAACAATTCCTTAAAGCAGAACTGATAGTAATTCCAACCCAGTAAGACATATTTTTAATCCTGGTTTCTCCTCTTCCTGCAAGAGTTAACTATTCATTTTGCCAGTTGCAAAATGTCTGCCATTCCAGTTACCCATAATGCCCTTTGACAACCTTACCTAGGAAATTTCAATAGCAGCTCACAGTGAGTTCTCAAGTTCCCCCAAAGCCGCAGAGTATGGCAACATCACAGCCAGAATGCAAGGACCAGATCCAGCACGAGTAATAGTTTCCCAACCAAGAGCTCTTGACAGCTGTTGCCCCCGTGTTTCTTAACCTTGGCAACTTTTAAGATGTGTGCATTTTAATTCCCAAAATTATCCAGCAAGGATGAAGTTGAGTCCACACATCTTAAAGTTACTAAGGTTAAGAAACACTGGACTGTGGACACTGATGCTAGTCTTGGTCTCAAATTCTTGGCAATTGTCTTCAAGCATTTCCCAACAACCCATTCTGTTTTGTTTTGAAGTTTGCATATTTCATTTATGTCACTGTTCATTTTAGTCCAATAGCTTTTGCAGATTTCACACCAGTTGAAAAACCTACCAGACCATTTTTAGCAGAGGCAAATTGGAAGAAATATGTAGGCATCCAGTACAATCCACAAAGACACCATGTGCCTCATGATGTCATTGCATATCTTCCCTTTTGTGTCAACTGTACAGTGACACCACACAATGGGCTGCAATTCATTTTGCAACTCTCAGCTCTCTAAAGCAGAACCCAATTGTCATCTATCCCTGCC